CATCAGAAGTAAAACGAATGACACAAAATAACAAACCTTGTTTGAACATATAAATGCGTGTACCGAATGAAATATAATTTGTACAAAACAAAATGGCGTCTGAAATAATTAAATAGGAATTCTTAGAACAGAAATATGTTTGGTGAAATCAGATACGAATTTTAGAAAACGAAATAATATTTTATGGAATGTAAAATAGAATTTACAAACATAAATGCGTTTTATGAAATGAAATATGGATTTTACAAATTTAAATCGCGTTTTATGAAATGAAATAAGGAATTTACAAACATAAATTGCGTTTTATGGAATGAAATTTAGATTTTACAAATGTAAATCGCGTTTTATGGAATAAAATATGGATTTTAAAAAACAAATTTATTGTTAATAATATTGCAACACCTGGCTTGCCATAGTGGGGGAATTTCATAGACACTTTACACAAAACGATCGATTTCTTGTTAAATTTAGATTATTGGTAAAACCTTGTACGGTGGTTGGATACGCTTGTTTGTATATATTAGTCTATCGAGTGTGAAATAGAAAATACACGATGCGCAAGTTATTCAACCTTCAATTCCGTTGCCATCGCGACCTTTACAGCTGCATGGATTCTGAAATCTGCACAAGACGTGACCTGTATATTTCTGTAGGTCTGTGAATCAACCATTATTGTATGGGGTGAGTAGATCACCTTAGAGGGACGGTCATAGTACAATTCAGTAAAACAAAGTTTTGAATGCAACTGTTCCTGCGTAAAATAGCCGCCTCTACATATTGGTCAACGCGTCTGTTCGCTCGATTTAAATCATTCTTGTCAACTGATTGAATGAACTATATCCCGACAGTACGATATTATAGGATGCAGCCGGCAACACACGTTATTTGAATGGCATAGCAGTTGAACAAATGACGTCATTTATCAGCAGTAAAAGACGATTCGATGTTGAACGGATTACGTTTTACGTCTTTTTGTGCTGTTCGTGAATAGAATTGAATGTATGTTCAGGCAGCGCGATAACTGCGAATACCGATAGTACCATCTAACCGGTAAGTGGCCATAACCGTCCTTTTATATAGCCCAACATGGAGCGCGACGGCGGCTGCCATGTTGTTATTAATTCTGAACGTGGTGGGGAAGTCGTCGATATAGGTTATGTATATTGCGTAGCGATATGTAGTTGGCTGCTACGGTGCACTGTCAGTAAGTATATGCCGCGATTTGTTTGTTGTACAATTCCTCATTACGAAAAGGCTTTGTTTTCGACTCGCAAAAATCAGCACTGGCTGACTAACCAGTCCGTAAACTCATGAACCAGATATCTCGATGGGTATGTATTTTCGACGGATTAATCACCATTGTATGTTTATCAATAGCGTTACAGTGCGATTATTATGCAAATCAAAGACCTTGAGAGTACGTTGACCTTTACCGCACCTGCATCGGTGTTCAGACGACTGTAGTCTGAGATCGGTCTGACACTGAAATTATACTTTCCCCAGAGACATTAATGTTGAATTAGCAACTTGACCTCTGGAGTCGATTTACGCAGAAAATCTCTGTCAGTTGAAACATTAGTTTATTTTTCTGTAAAACTCGACTATGGCATTGCCAAAAATATAGATATAATGAACGCGTCATGACGAGTCCCCAATATCTATTTCTGGGCGGCGATCCGCTCTTCTATGATTGTTCTTAAAATCATTTTTGTGTGTGTGCAATTCCCAGTATCTTCGCGTATTAATTCTTCTGTGATTTTTTTTGGCTTGGCCGATTTCGCTCAAACTTGGCAGGTAGGTCACATTTCTGGCCCACCGTTGCCATAGCAACAACAAAACCTGATTTTGAATACCTTCGCGTCAAATGTATCTCACTCCGAGTCTACAATTTTAGAACAAAAAAAACACGGACATAGCTCATTCTGCTCAGCTTGAGTGCGGGCAAAAGGTTATTATTTGTTTTTTATATCTTTTTTAATTAGAGAAATTTGACCTCAAAGTTGGGGTAACTTTTCACCTGTAACGGCTTTTGTTTATCTCTTCGGTGTTTTTTTTTTTTGTTTTTTTTTTTTTTTGGCTTGGCTGATTTTGTTGATGCCCCAGTCACATCGCTGTCATGGCAACAAGCAAAAAAACTGAATTTTGAATACTATCGGCCGAATGTATTATCTCCTACCAGCCTTGTAATAGCAGTGTTCAAATGACCATTGCAGGGAAATCCCAAATATCTGTAGATATCAATTTCTACCATACATTGTTAAGCATAATATCCCAAAAAATATCCGACGAGGTAACGTGTTGTTAATTTAATGGGAAAGTGTCTGCGTAAGTGTATGGCCCATTTTATATCCTAAGGGAACAGATCTGCTTGTCATTTAATACACCGATGCAGCAAGTCCTTTTGTTTGCAATCATGCATTTGTGTACATATTCATTCCCTGTATAATGTTTTCTCCGAGTTGCTACTCGCTACAGTCTGGTTTACCCACACCTAGGTTTTAAAAAAATAAACTGAAATTACGCACACATGCATCGCGCACAGTATGTTTCGACTAACGGTTTATAAAATATGCATTATAATATTCTATTTTTAGAGATTTAGAAACAATCGTATTTTTCCCTATAAAGCAGATTAAAATGGGTGATTTCATTCCCGATAGAGTATTTCCTAGAACAGTTCAGAATGCAACTGTGATGTGCTTTACCTTCGTAAGTCCTTTACCTTCGTAGGTGCTTTACCTTCGTAGTTTATGTTATATTAAAGGTTAATCACAATAAATCCTCTGCCAGTACGTCAGCTGGCAACCTTAGAGTAGTTTATGTTCGAATTAATCGTCAATTCGTTTCGGACATTACAGCTATATTGGGGCAACACGCTAGAAATGACTTTCCTATTTGAAAACTAAGAACGGGTTGGTGGATGTGAGGTAGTATCTAGTTATTACGATATACAGCCTCGTTATTGAAAGGTAGTATTCACGCGCGGATTTCCCCTTCAGCAAAAAAAACAAAAACAAAAACGACAAATCAATTGACAAACCCGCGTCGCGTCAATAGCAGCGCGCCCTCCATCCCCTTTCCGAATTTCTGGATCCGCCAGTGGTATTTCGTTATTACGGGACAGTATCTCGTTATTGCAAGGTAGTGCATTTTTATCACTAAATTGTATATCGTTATTACGAGGTAGTGCCTCGTTATTACCAAAAATCATCTTTTTATTACGAGTTAGTATCTTGTTATTGCGAGGAAAAATTTCGATTTTACAACTTGAAGGTAGAAGTAATATCTCATTATAAGGAGGTGGTATCTTGTTATTGTGAGGTATTATTTCGTTATTACGGTCCATGACTATTTTAAAAACTGTGTTGGGGTTTTGTTACGAAGGGTCTAGAAACAAAAACAATAAAATGGATAAGATACGTTCCCTGTAAAATATGAGATGAAATCGAATTATCGTCTGGGCATTTTGGACCGCATCATTGAGAAACCGCGAAGGGACTGACAGCAGACGTCTCATCAGTCGCATCCTCAAAATCCAGTAACGAACCGCCGATATTTTTTTTTACCCATCATTCAATGGGAAAGTCAAAGTTTACTTGGTCCAATCTTTGAACGCTGTTTAAACTGCTGTGCTTCTATAGATTTATACATAAAAAGTCTTTTCAAACTGGCATAAAGTAATGGTATTGGAATTGGAATTTCCTGACATGTAGGCGATACATCAATATTTTGACTGTAAAACACACATTTTACATGGGTGGGGCGGATCATAACATAAGATGAGAAGATGCATTATGATGCAGTCTGGTCCTTAGATCGCTGCATAGGGCCATACAAGATCATAGCATAAGGTGAGGAAGGTCATCTATGCATACAAATTAACCATAGTAACCAAATGACAGTAAAGTAGTAAACAACTTGAAAAAATAAAAAAAATATAAGCAAGAGTGTGCATTATGTACAGCAACACAGAAACAAAAGTGTTTAAGATATCCATGTTGTTAATTTTTATTTATTTATTTATTTATAATTAATTATGATCTTCAACAAAATTATTTGAGTTATTGCACCCATATAAAAAGGTTACGACAACGACGAATAAACAAACCATACAGACCTTTTATCTTCCCATTGCATCAGAGGTTAAAACAAAATAGCAACCTGGCAAGGGTGAATTGGCCAAGGAAAAGCGCCAAGTACGGTAGCGTTGGGGTAATATATGTTTTTGAGGATGTTTGTTCGTTCATTCAAAGCAACATTTAATACATGTCTTCAAGATGAGAAGCAAAATATTTGTTGTTGTTGGCCTGAGTTACAGATATCTTTTTATAATGTTTTCAGGACTGGTTCAGAATGGAGTCTGCAAAAGCAAGCATAAGTTACCATGTTTTAAAAGAAGAACACATCGCGGAGGCGGCCCATGTGCTGACCAAGGCTTTCCTCGGCGGGGAGAGTATATCAAGCGTTCTGAAGCAGCCTTACAACGCCGAATTTGCATCAAGCGAGGATATCTGCAAAGTGGCATCAAAAGAAGGTGTCTCGGTGGTAGCAGTGGATGATACAACCGGTAAGGTCGTTGGGGCTATATCCGGGACACTGTGCAGAGCTAAGGAGCTCGGAGCGCAGAAAGTCAACACCCCTTTAGTGCCACCAGAGGTCGCACCATATTATTGCCCAGCATTCATCCCGTATTTAGAGGAACTTGAACAGTTTTTCGCTGGAAACAAAGAGCTGACTGCAGACCCCGAGTGTCTCATCATGAGGAGTGCGAAAATCGGTGTCCTCTCCGAATATGGAGGTTTGGGTATCGGAACTAAAATGGCCGACAAACGACAAGAGCTTTGCCAGAAAATAGGATGCAAGTATATCATTTTGACGTCAACTAGTCCAATAAGTTTCAAATTATATTCCAAATTAGGGTACAAGGTCTTAGGGGAAATTCCATATAAAGATTTTGTCATTAACGGGGAACGTCCATTTGCTGCCATCACCATGGGAACATCTGGTAAGAGTATGATGAAGAGTATCTTGTAATGACGTCACAAGAACTGCTTGGTTATAAATTGACGCCGCAGGAATCGCTTGAATATATATAGCATGCACAGGAGACTATGGATAAATTCAGACGACATATGTACTGTGTTAGCGAGTACAACTATCACTGTTTGATGTCATAGGAATGTCCGGTAATCCGTTTCAGTTGTAGGCAGTTTCGAGAGAGAGAAAATGTAATTTGTGTGAAAATGGTAAATGTGAAATGTGCATTGCAATTATGTCTTCTACGAATTGCTGAATAGTTTAAGCGTTCAACGGACTATTGCAATGCTAGTAAGACGGCATCTTAGTCGGCCAATGGTAAATCTCGTAAGACAGTATCTTAGTCGGCCTATGGTAGATCTCGTAAGACGGTATCTTAGTTGGCCAATGGTAGATCTCGTAAGACAGTATCTTAGTCGGCCTATGGTAGATCTCGTAAGACGGTATCTTAGTTGGCCAATGGTAAATCTCGTAAGACGGTATCTTAGTCGATCAATAATTGATCTTGTAGGACGGTATTTTAGTCAACCAATGGTAGATAATAATAATGATAATAGTCATCGTATTGGTAGTTTATTTATTTGAATTATGTAAAGTAGTCGAACGATGGTAAATTATTTTGAGATATTGGTTACTCGGTCAATGGTAAATATTATATCATAGTCGGCCATACATGGTCATTGATAAATGTTGGACGTATACTGCAATTTAGCAATGGTTAACCTTTGAAGCAATAAATCCATATATTTGAGTGTTAAACTATTGTTGTATATGGTTTCATTCCTAAGTGTATACATTTTAAACTATTTGCGGAGAATAGCAAATCAATGCCCCACATAAACATTACTGTTTAAATTAAAAAATCAGGTATCGCCGTGGAAGACAAGTGTAAAAGTACAATCGAATAATAATGGTCCAATAAACAATATTATGTTTATGAGCTGTGTTATACCTCGTTTCTTGAAGTCGTGACTGTTTTGTTTATGTGTGTCGGCTAGAATAACTTTGCTTTTATTATTTTTTTTATTTAAATTTCAAACAAGAGATGATTTGTAGCGCTGGCTGACGCCATATTATCGCCATCCCTCACAAGTAAGTTACAAATACATAAAATAAAACAAAATACGACATACATTCAAACATATACTGATGCTGTATGTTATGAGAAAAAGTAAATTTTAAATTTATTAAAAATTTTTGAAAGTGCTGTTCGTCATACGTACCTGTTAGAATTTGATTGGGAGGGCTACTTATAAAAGAATATACTCCAGAATTTGTCACAAGCGACATTGAGAGGTCATTCTAATGTGACTCGTGCTGTGCTATTCGCAAGAGCATTAGCATTTCTTTAGATCACAAAAAACTGCATCTCTTGTGCAGGGAAACAAATAGGTACCTCAATAACACACTGAAACAATTTCCAGTCGGCCATCTTGAATCGTCTATCGATAACAAAATAAAATGCTCCTGCGACATATTTTTACTCTAAGCAGTGCCGAGGTTTATTGCATGAATGCTCGCTTGAACCAAAATCACGCTCTCGGCGATGAACTTAAGAGAACACATACCAGCATGACATGGCGATGGAGGTGCATCTAGATACGGTCGAATGCTGTAGCATTGAAAGAAATGAATGTAGAACGTTGTCAGTAATGCATATTTATGTGCTGCTGAAATCAGTTTCTCTTTTTTGCTATGATGCATGAACGTGAAAAAATTTCTTTCAAGTTGAATACATCTGTGCCATTCATGTGCACGAGGACTCAGAATAAATGCTGGAACAGCAAATGGATATGATTCAATAACTTGAAAGTAATTATTATAACAATATGCGTAACGTCTACCATGTTTTGGCCAACTACCATCCATGCGTGGACATAGTAAATTACTACTAGGCCCGTTAAATTCGCAATGGAAGGTGCTTTGGTGACGCATGGTCGTCAGTGTGGGTTGTATGCTTATATCTTCGTAATATATCAGTAATTAATATGATATACAACCCTAAGCTATCGTCCTGTAATCCATTATATTATATGTGTGTACCTGTACTCAATAATACCTCTTTACAAATATTTTCGCTCAAATGGTGATGACTGCGAATGGTTTCTCTCTAATGATTTCATAATATGTATGCGAAATTGTACCACGTAGTACTACTACTGTGTGTGCTGCATTATAATATAGCAGAAACTAGTTGGACCCATATAATGCAGACACACAATCATAAATCAGTTGTCAATAAGTAATCATTATGGTTTCGATTTCGGTTATAGTAATACGCGAGTACACACCAAGTTACTCCGATCGGTCAGACACACCGATTGAAGGTCAACACGCATCCTGTCACCTGTTCCACAGGCAGGTCACACTCTGGTGCTTAATGCGACTGTCAGTGACGGCTGGTACTGAATGGCACCCTCATTACAGTGATCACAGGCATGTTTCATACGGGTAGGTCGCACCCATATATTATATCGAGCCTGTCGGTATGTAGCTGTGGCTCCATAGCTTTTTGTGCCACAATATTTAGTCTGTGTAGTGAAATTATATTTGAGCCATGTAAAGTTGTTATTTTTCATCGCAAACTTGTAACATAAACGTGTATATTGCAAATCAAAGTCATGATAAAAGAACACTTTCTTATATTACACGAACTATCATCGATCGAGATGAAAAAAAAAATTATATATACGGATATTATGTGACCAGATGGTAAAAAATAGTTTATCTACATTGATTTCACAATCTTTATGTAACATTTCACAAATACACCTATAGCCTAATTTTGAATACAACGTTTGATAGTGCTGATAACAAATTGTTTACATATGTGATGTCATCAATTGAAGTTTGGCATCTGGCAGACTCCCTGTTGTCGAGCCCTTTTAACCCTTATAACAGAGTAGTTTTTGAACCAACACAAAAAATAGCATTACTATAACCAAAGGGATATATTCATAGATATTCAAAGAGGAAAGTTTAGGTAAATTTGGTAAAATAGGTAAATCTATCCTGAATTACAAGACAAAAACTAAAATGCCGCAAAGCTTGATGAGTAAAATCATGGAGGTATAACGTCAAAAGTCTGTTTTG